CCCCAAAACCCCAAAACCCCAAAACCCCAAAACCCCGTTTTTACCAAGATTTATTGAATTTTAGTGCAGATTTATTGCCATGAGAATGGAATCAGCAGATGGGATCGCTACAAAGGTAAAGGGGTCTGAGAGATTCTAGTTGGACCCAGGCCCAGCCTTCTTCTTATCTGATTTATCTAACAACTCTCCTGTGTACATGTTGATCTTGATAGTCGTCTTCTTCTTAGATTTTCCCGTACCTTGGCTTGAAGTCGACTCTATAGGGTAGTTGAAGAATGAAGAGAGTACAAACATACCTGCCTTTTTCAAGTGACGAATGTGGTTACGGATCTGGCCAGTGCTCTTAGAAGGAAAGAACTTCTGGATTTCTACCCATTGGTTTCCATATTTCTCATAAAGCTCTTTAAGCTTTAGGTTCTCGTCAGGTTTCCAATATGTTTTCTTTTTGGTCTTTTTCTTTTCTCCTCTTGAATTGACAGAGCCACTATTAGAAATTCCACTAATGGAATCAAAAGCTCTCACGGATGATGACTTCATTGAGTCTAAAGGGATCGTAGAAACAGGAGCTGGGGGTTGAATTTTTCCATTCTGTAAAGGCCCTCCTGAACTCTCAAGTATGGATTTAAACATCACAGGGTTAATCCCTAGCTCCCCTACGAACTTATCCAAGTTAGGTTTAACAAGTACGCTCTGAAGCTCTAATCCCGCTACATTCTGATACCCTGTATCACCCTGGATCTCAAACTCATCATCACTCTCAGTTTCCTCATTGCTCTCCTGCTCATCCCTCAAATTTCCTCTCTGATCAATCTCTGGCTCAAGTTCAGGCTCAGGTTCGCTTGATTCCTCCCTATTCCTCAATGAAAAACTTCAAAACAAAAAATGAAGACCAAAAACTGGATAGACCCAAGCTCAGGCTAACTTTTAAGCTACTCAGATAAGAACCTAACCCATTTAGGACCTAAAATTATTAGTGGCAGAATTCTGGATCTCAGCTTAAGAAAACAGCATACTTATCATCACCTTAGAAATATCAGGAGGGTAAAATTCATACTTAGTTTTAGTAATGGCGCTCAGCAGCCAGATACTTTATTAGCCTGTGTGTCTCAGTAAAAAATAGTGGGAAATTAATATGGGGAACTCACAGAGATTAGTGAAACCCCATGACAGAATCAGGCTGAGAGGACTCTTTATCTAATACTTAGGGATGATATCGCTGAAAGTCCCTGAAGGGAGTATTTATTCATGAAAATTTTAAGATTAGGGTGATGATATAGGAGAGTAGATCATAATATATGATCTCAATGTGGGCTAAAAATTTGGAAAGAACTTACTCTTTTAGCTTATATTCTTGACCGGTAATATCTTTCTCCATCACTAAAAGTCATCCATAAACTTACTGCTAGCAAGAGTCTTGCTCTGGACTCCGATTTTATCAAAATATTGGGAAATGAGATTTATCTTCTTCCTGTATACTCCTTGTTCCTTCTCTTTTGCCTGTTCAGACCTAGTCAGGGCGAACTCTAGCTTATGAACATAGTCCCAAAGTGAGGAATTTAAGGCTTCTGCATCTTTTGACATTTTCGAATATTTTATATTTCAAGCTCTTATTAGAAATTTGGGGTTTTGGGGTTTTGGGGTTTTGGGGTTTTGGGG